ATTAAAAAATTTAAATGTTAAAAAAATTAGTAAAAATCTTCGCAGGCAAATTTGCCTGCATTACAATTTAAGGGATATAAATAGTATAGGTATTTTATACCCGCAAGAAATTAATAAATCGAATAAATACTATACTTTTATCTCTAAAAGTCGCTTTTGGAATCTAATCTGCAATTGACTCTTTTGTATTCTATCTAATTATCCGGAATATAATATTCTTTATATTGTCTATTAATAATGGAACTGCGTATCATAGGATTGTTTTTATATAATTCAATCCATTTAGTATGCCATTGATTAAATTGTCTCGAGTCTGAGGATTTTTTACTTTATGTCGAGTTAAACCTAGAAATTTCTTATTATCCAGAGTATTATCATTTGCTAAGCTGTTCTAAGCGAGTCGTGCATTTGATGGCTCTCTTTCTTGAAATCGTCTCCAAATATTTTGAATAATTCTTGCTGAACCATCTCTAGTTTTTGGTTTATTACAATCATGATCCCAATATTCTTGCATCAGGTCTTTAGGTTCGAGAATTTTTACATATCTATCTATAGTGTGATGAAATTTCTTTTTTAGCTTCACATCATTAACCTGAATAAGCTTCATATAATCGAGACAAATTGCCATACGAGTTTTATGAATTCTAGGTTGGTAGTAATCATGATTTACAAATTTACCCTTACCAAATGCTAGAAATAGAGCATGTACATAGTATACTCCTCTTTCTTTCAGAGACTAGCTTTTGTAAAGGAATTCGAACTCTAAATGCCCATTGTTATAGAGTTTTATTAGGCTGAATAACTGATAAAGTATCATATTGTCTTTCAGTCTCAAAGAGTTCTTTAAAGAATCGTTGATAATCATTAATGCCACAATATTTGTAGATACATGACTCTATATATTTTATATCAAATCCAGGATGATTGTTAATGAGCTTCACCAATTTAGCTTTTTTATTAATAATAGTAGAGATAACAAGATCTGACATATTTAACAATTTAATAGACTTATTAGTACATTTGGTAATTATATGACTCTTATAGACCTAACAGATTTTATTAACTATATACTAATGAATATTGCAATTCATTTTTGTGTCGTCGAGAAATACACATGTTGGATACTTTGTAATATATATAAAAATAGCTAAAATCATTATCATTTAAGTTTACTTCGCAGATATGCAATTGGGCCTATGCACTCAATCGAGTTCATTACTACATTAAGAAGAATGTTAATCATACGCTAAATTATGATTTAATATTTATTGTTTTTTGTATTTCGCTGACAAGCTTCACTTTGTAGGTTCTAGATTTTTAAGCAGTTTGAGACAAATATAGTATTATAAACACTAGATATCTCTAGATTCAAACTTGAAAATTTAACACTCACCAAGGTTAGCTCGTCTAGAGTTTTTTAATTTTGGTAGGGATTTAGAACCAGACTTGAAAGAATATCTATTTTTTTGCAGTAACCTTACCTTCTTTTTATCACTATTTATGTTTATACCCATTTCGTTATCTGAATCTGAATCGCAAAATTTTCTATTTTGTTTAATCATAGTGCCATGTATAAAAAATACGACACTATGACATATGCTTGCGAGAACTGGAAGATTCCCGTGAACTAAAATGTTTGATCTAAAAGCAATAGCTTGCCCCTGTTTTGCATGTATTATTAGTTTTAACTCAGGAAATACTAATTGTCCACCTTTAAATGTTCCAAGTAGGCACACAACACAGAGCGAATTGCAGTGGTCTTTTAAATCCCGATGGAACTGGCAAATAGCATTGAAATTAATTGCTATAGTAGGAAAGCTTCCAAACGATTTAAGGATGTTTGGTCCAAGATCAAGTTTTCTTATTTTTGTATACAAGGCTGGATATGTTTCCTTAATATAACCATTAATAGCATCAGATAATGGTTGAAAGCCTTGTATTAATCTTTGAACACATTTTAAATGACCCCGGTTGTGAGATGAGGCAGTATTTGATGTTGTATAAGGTTCATTGTTATTGCCCATAAAAGCACCAAAATGCTCGACCAATTCTTTCAAAAATTCTTTGGACTAGTGAGACGGATTATCAAGCATGTGAATATAGTATTGTTCCACTGCTATCTTTGCACTTTTGGTGACCCTGGAACTCTGAAAAGTGTATAAATCTACTATTGTTTCTCCAAGAGCATTCTTAAAACATTGTGGGTCGAATATATAGTGATACCCTTTTATATTGACATCTTCCTCGGACATCTTATCAGTTAATACACTAGTAATAATTTGCTTGTCTTTTAAATTTCGACAAAGTGCCTCAAATATTGTTGTTTGCTTTAGCGAAACTTTTCCTGCTTTTACATATTGCTAATGTGCATGCTTTATCTTAGACCAGAAGCACTGACAATGGTTACGAATCTGCTTTACAATAGAAGGACTGATTGCAAAAAATGCCCACAAAGTGAATTGCTTCCATGCTAAATTAGAATTTTTATTTGTAGGTTTGGTGTGATCAAAAATTTCTGATTCTAGTAAATCAATAAATTCAGCAGGTATTTGAAAGGTAGTTAAAATGGGATAAATAATTTGTGTAGTTTGGGGTGGTAGTGATCTTTCTGAATTATATAATTCACTCCAAATATTTTCTAGGTCAAATTTGAAAAGAGCATCATATTTAAGGGAAAAGGTGTTTTGCTTTACAGCATCCAATAGAAGCAATTCTCGGTCCAGTAGCATCTTAATAACTTCTTGTTGCCATCTTTTTTCTGCAAATTTTTCGAAAAAGGTGATCTTCAGATCCATTAAAAAAATGGATTGCAAATTATTCTTTGACTTAAAATCGCTTGCCATGAAATCTTCAGATTTCCAGTAAGATAGAATATATTCATGTAATTTGCTCTTAGATAGACGAGTCTTGCTTTGAGTCTTGTGCTAGAAAATATATATTCAAAAAACCGGTAAATTGATATACAAAAAATACTTTATATTGAATAGTAATAAAATCTTCTCAGTAGATATATTCGAATCACTCTCAGTGGTGTAGTTTGGGGGGTTTAAAATCTATGAAGTCTGCATTACCTTCCTCCTCACACATGCCCCACATCAAGGATGATGATCACGCCCGAGATGAAAAAATAACTTTATATAGGGAGGGAATACTCAGATCCTAGGCCTGCCTCGAAAGGCGAAAAGTACCCATAAGAAGACTATACTATAAAACTAAATGTAATAAAAGATATTTAACCTACTTTTAAAGGATTGTAAAATATGTTTGTGCTTTCTTTGATATGATTAACGTTAGAATTGGAAACACTCTCTCTGACGATTGAGCTATTGGATTTTTCAATTTTAGCTTTTTTTATAGTGCGTAGTTCTTTCTTACGCAAATTTCTCTTGGAGGCCTTCGTCATAGTGGGTGTATTTTGTAGTGACATAATGTTGGCACAAGTATGCAATTTTATAAAAACAAAAAAATAAAAAAATTTAAAATGTTCTCTTGAAAACAAGCAATTCGGAACAGAACTTTGTACTGAAGACCCTTTTATTATAAATTATGGCTTATTTTTATTAGTTCAGTATATACTGTAATAATCCGCACGAAACAGTATGCAATATAAATGACTCGGCATTGTGATAATTCAACACGAGTCAACTAATATTTTTATTTGGCGTCTTACCGTAGCATGATAATTACTATGTAACAAATAATTAAATTGTTTACTAAATTCGGCACCACAATTGTTGGATACGGCAAATTAATCAACAATCGCACATTTTCTAAATTTAGGTGCATTTGGTACGTTATTAATCGGTATTAATCAATGTTGATCGAACACCTAATATCGCAATTTTTTGAGATCCACAAAAAGAATACGTGTTCTTAAAATAGCAATCATGTGCTAAATAAAATTGATGTGTATTTATTAATAATATATAGTAAATGATATATAGCATAATATTAGTTGATACTTTTTCACATAGTATTGCAACCCAATTCTAAAAACAAATGTCAGGCAGATTAATATGAAAAAACTTTGATGCTATGGACTGTAACAATACTTGCAAAAATAAAGATAAAAATATGATATGTTGTACAGTAATACTGTATATCAAATATATCCAAAAATATATTTATATTATGTTGTTATTAGCTTAGACTTTTCCATTCCATGTCAAGTCCTGTCCATAAGGAGCTAAGTTACCATGTTCATTCGCTAACAATAATTTAACCAAATCTTTTTTTTTTTTTTTTTTTTAAGAAATGTAATTATATTTGCAATTGTCAAATTTCCATTGGGAATTTTAAGTTTCTTGGTAGGTTTTTCTCTGGAAAGAATAAACTTGCCAAGCTCAGTCTATGCTTGTTTGCTGACTCTTTTGCCGTTAATATAAAGGGAAGTTTGAGGGAAAATAGTACGATGAACTGTTACAGAAACCTGATGATTACAACAAACTGTCATATATACTCTAGCATAAATAAATGGTGCATCATATCATATTGCATATGTCATGCTATCGATACTAACCGACTAGCTCTAGCATCAAAAATGCTCAAACAAGTATTATCTTTGATTTTGGACCATTGAATTTTGTTGAATAGTAAGTCATTAGTATATACATCAGCTGATGAATAATAAACGTGTAGCACATATTCTTTCGTATACCCATAAGGATTGCATTCGGCATCGTCACATTGTTCTGGATTTTTGGTTAGATTTTCTTTATTACAGTAATCAGGATCACGAGGATTAGCAGTAACAAGATAACCTTTAGTATCACACTTAACGTTAAAGCTGGGAATATGGATATATCCCCTATATTCTTTTCTTCTAGCCCATTTATCAAAGTTACCACCTATGCTATTCATGTCAGAAAAGTTGGTGGCAGATAATCATCTGCTGACCATTCTAAAATTTCACAAGCCACCCTTCTGGAAATCAAATTTCCTACATCTTTCAACTGTTCAATACAATCATCATAAAAATTCGGACTATTCTTGATATAAGAAATGGTAAGAACATCCGGTGTTCAAAAGGTTATTTCATTTCCCGATAACGTGCCTCGAAGCAAGAAGGTAACTAAGATGATGATAACTTTGCCAAGCATAACAGCTTTTGGATGGTTATAATTAATTCTGACAGTAAAATTGAAGAATAAAAAAGCTTTAACACGAATTTATTGCAATGTTATGAATTTGTTTGCTAAAAAGGTTTATTTCTCCTGAGTATTTAACAGAAAGGCATGTATACAAGAAATCATATAACCGATATATCTATCTTCTTGTAATGCCAAAACATGTAAAAAGAACGGTTTAAATTATATGCAAGAATTTTACTATGCATGGTGATAAATTACATGAATAAATATATATTACTATGTTGATTGGTACCTTAAACTATTCTTTCTAGAAATGACTCAAAAGAAATATAAACAAAAAAAATCCAATTTGCTTCGCGAAAAATTACCCAATTATTCAAATTTGTGCTAGATTAAAATAATTATAATTTCGTTAATACCTATCTACACCCTAATGAAACACCGTATTTAAATTTCGTTCGATGTAAAAATGAAATATCATTTAAACTTTGTTCCGACTTTTAATCTGATTCATATACAGTATACAGTATAAGTTAAATAATTCACTATGTATGATATAATCTGATATCAGATGTACAAATTAATTTGTATTAGAATAAATAACGATAAGCTATACGATATAACTTTTTCTAATACATGTGTTTTATTTTTGTACGTATGACATAAGTACACAAAAATTCGATCACAGTTTTTTTAAACTGAATATTCGAAATTCAATAAACATTTGTCAGTATATACAAATTTAGAATAGATCTTGATATAGTATTTTGCTTATTTTGAACAGTACTTCAAGAGTGTCTTAACAGTAGTTTAACATTAATACTGTAATATCGATATAGTAAGAGTCATTGTAGAAAAATTTTTATTAATATTAGCGTAAGTACAGAAATAAGATACAGTAACAAGTCGCACAAAATTAGATATAAGGTTTTGTGACAGAATCATTTCTCACAGTCGATTTTTTGATTTATAACGAATATTATGAATTATATCTAAACTATTTTCTTATTATATAAAATCCCGCGACAAGAATGGGACTTAAAAAGGTTATAAGGGTAATACGTATAATGTTCTTAATCAGTAGTTTGGTCCAATTCATATGTTGCAGGAACTTGGAATTCCCAAATCATCAGATCTAAACCCACCTTAAGTGATCGTCAAATCTAAGGGGGTTAAGTTTACCAGAAAAAAATAACAAAATAGGCTCAGTGTTTGGAACTTATAACCGAGCAGAGTTGCTTTGTTAAGTGTGGTATGGTATTGTATTAGAGTAATGTAATTACTAAGCTTGTAATTTTTCTTCTGGCAGGTTCTCTAGATCTAACGAATTTGGAGTATAAAAATAAGCATGTTTCCATCCATAAGATAAGTTAGCAATATCGTTTTTTGCTCATATCTATTTTTATTTAATTCACTTGCCAAATTTTTAAAAATAATGTACTATTTAATAGAAACTAAGAAAATCGAATTTTTTCTTACTATGATTTTTTTATGTATTTAGAAACGTAAAATAACCACCACAAATTCTATTAGCCTTAAGTGCCTTTTTCCGGATAGTAAACATATTAATATTGAGATATGCAAGAAAGATAAGGTTGCAGTGCTTAAACACGGAGTTGAGGGTCTGTTAAAAAATCAAGGTCAACAAGATTCCGATCTCTACGTTATCATTTCTAAGAATTCGATGGCCGAAATATTTGATTATTTCAAAAGTGAAACTTTTGATCTGAATCAAGTTCATATTATCGTAAAACCAAAGGAATAATATTTTTTTCTTGTATTCACATTATGTAATAGCGATGTATTTTTTTATTTGTATATTGTTATAATCTTTATGAAAATAAAGAGAGGGTTTCGTGCCCCCGCCATTTAATGCGATCGTATAAATAAGTATTAGTCACTATTTATACAGTTATTTGGATTTTTATTAATGTTAAACCATGATCTACTCGCCTTCTCGCAGTAACTGCTTGAAGCCAGAAAAAAGCAGATAGTATATGCTAATAACATATGCATCTTTTTTTCTAAAATATAAAGAGGAAAAAAGGGGGCTCTTCTGTATTTAAATTTGTTTATCTATGTCTTCAAAGCAATTAATAGCTTTTTTTGATCGATACGAAAAGGGCAAATATCTTTATGCAATTTTATCGATACAGTATTTTATTCATGAATTAGCAAAAAAATCTTTATTAACAGAAAAGAAAGAGAATAAAAGTAAAAAATCTAAGTACAACAGATAAAAGATCAGAATGCGATAGTGTTATAAATATCTATAAAATAATAATAATACATAATATAAAATTACAAAAGTAATAAAGAACGAATAATACATTAAATTATAATCTAATTTGAATAATTTATTTCTATCTTCTAATGCATGAATTTGTTTGTAAAATCGACTAGCGATAAACCACTTTATATCTTGACACATTCTATTATACACTATAATAATAATTTCGTCATCGCCTTCTGACTTTTTAGCCGATTTATATGCTCCTATAGCAAAATTTTCTTCTAAAGCTCCTACAAGAACCCCGAATGCATACTTCCCGTCTCTCACTACCGTTCTAAACTCATCAACTTTATCACAACCTATAAACAAATTATTTGTTAATTGTTATATTGATAATTGTTGTTTATATGATTAGTAATTAATATACTTATATCTTTTAAGTACCATGCTTTGCACTGAACAACAATCTTCATCCCAAAAATTTCCACAATAATATTTTGTCCTAGATCTCCACTTTTCCTATAAATTAATAAATTAATGAATATATATTTCATCGTCATATATAGCTAGGGCCAGCATGTATTCTATTCATCATTAAATCCGGCAGGGCTGCTCCATTTCCAGACATTGATAACTGAGAAGAACGTTCACTGCCGAAACAGTGGCCACGATATGCTTTCAATTCTCAGATAATTTACATCGATATGATAGCGTAACTTCAGATACATAATGACTCAATATATTATTCAATAAGAAAACTTATCTGACATGCGTAATAACAGCACCATACACTTCCAATTCTCTCAACAACATAATACAGAACTCCTCAAATCTTTTCCCCAACTCTTGTGATGTTTCTCCTTCGATACGAACAAATTGAATTTCTTGAGGCATTTTTTTTGGTTCAAAAAAATAATTTGTGTTAGTAAACACTAAAAAATTTTTATTTATATCACCATCACTCCTTTTCATTAGGAACATTTTGTAGAGAAAATGTGTAAGTATTACTCGAATCATTTCATTACGAAAAAAAACATGCCGAAAAACCATTTTTAGAATGTGTTGAAAACTCTTATTTTCATTAGATTTATATTTATTTCTGGTCGCATATCAAAACACTTTATTTAACCTCAAATAGAAATTAGACACCCAGATTATTTACAACAATCGCACCACAAACGCATATAGGCTTCCTATAAAGTTTTAATATAATTGTATGACAATCAACACTAACTAGTTATTGCAAGACATGATCTTATTATAATGAAAATAAAATGTAATCTATTGACCAAATTTAGTTTAGGACATTCTGGGGTTCTGCAATAAATGCATGCGGAATTTCTATGACCTTCCATTTTAAAGTTTAACTTCTATTACGTATTGCGAATTATGAAAATGTACTATGTGTCTATACACTACTAAAAATTATAAGTTTTATGTATTTGTCGTAATGAGGTTAGAGTACTTAGAAAAATGAAAAAAATGACACTTTGTATTTGTGGCTAATTTTTTTATTATACAGACCTGTGTTTATAAACAAATTATGCATAATATAAAGAATTTCTAATTTATTCAGTAAGTATATGTTTATTCAAAATTTTTCTCGTCGATCTTAAACAGTATGCATCATTTTTTCCTGCTACTAAAATTTAATCTTCCTGATGAGGTAAATAAAATTCTTGAGCGAATGCATTTAAAAATCAAATCACAAATATAACTTTATTAATTTTATAGATAGGCCTGGGCCAGTTAAGTAAAAATGATTATTGGAGTAGCAGATGTTTAAAGGGAGGAATTTCTCAAGCTCTAACCCATAAAATGAGAGTTCTTTTCCGCTACTCTGTGTTATTAGCTAAGTTAAAATTATTTTTACTATCTATCCAAGCACCTATTTTATTTAAAATACTACCTCTAAAATCACTATTATTATAATAAAAATTTTTTATAGTTTCCTTACTAATCTTTCCCATCCCAAGACTACGAATCTCAACAGACACCATATTACATATATCGTCTAAAAAATAATTATTGTCTGTTATAATCTTATCAAAAAGAATTTTAAAGTAATTTCTGGTTATTGAGATAATATTAAAAAAAGATAATTGGCTTGAGCCACTGGAAGAGCCCAGAGAAGAATCAGAAGATCCAGAAGAAGAACCAGAAGATCTTCAGGAAGAATTAGATGTAGGTATAGATGGGCCAGCAAATTGTTCAGATATTAATAGTGCCACAGAACCTGTTTTAGTTAAATAATCCAACTGATCACGAAGAGAATCATAATTGGTTGTAATTTTATTAATAGTTTCGATTATGGTATTTACTATTGCCACAATTCTCTGTCCCTCAATAACAAATGTAGCATCTCGTGACATAATATCTGCAGTTAATCTTTCAACACGTGCATTGAATTTCGCGGTAAGTTGTTGTTTGACAATATACATAGCGAAGCACATGGCAACGAAAATCAGATAAACAGAGATTTTCTTGGCGAATAACATTAGGCATACAAAGACCAAAAATAGTGCAATTTCTGAAATATTGATCGAAAACATTTATTAACAGAAAAAAAGATCATTAGTATAGATACACGAGTGTGAAGTAACCTAGCAAATATGCAACTCGAAATTAACCTTAATTCGTGTGAAATAGGTAAAATAAATGAGGTTTATTTTGTCGTTCTTAGCAGGACTATTACGCCTAGAATTTTTTTTTATTATCTTGATAAAGTTAAAATACAAGATATGAAAGTTTATTAAATGTTTTAATTATTTTTATTTTTACAGATATTACTAATAAGAGCGTAGAAGGATTGACTAAAA